GCAATAGAAATAAATATACCAAAGAACAGTAACAGATTATGTGGAAGAAAGTTTTTTCAGTATGGTTTTATTTAGGTAAGAAAATCTAATAAACATTTGTAAGTCCACAGGAAAAATATAACACTTCAAGCAGGATATTGAGCAGATAAAATTATAGAAGAGAAAAGTGAGCAAAATCATGCTGCTGTGGGGTGACGTGGGATACTGTGGGGTGCTATGGGTTCCCGACCTGCAGGATTCCACCTATGAGGGATATCCTGTGTTAGGGCGCAGATCGAGATCTCCCTCCAACGACAAAGAGACTCCAGAGACTGCAAACAGCAAGCAGGGTTTATTGTAAGACTGGCTAGCCAGGGTCCAGCCGCCTACACAGACACACAGGTCCGGCAGGTTGGGTAAAGACCCCGAGCTTTTCCAAAGGAGATCTTATATAGGCCTTCACCGACCGTTATAGCAGAGCCCGTGCATTTCATAGCCAATAGATTTGTAATAACAAATACTTTCCTAATCAATCCAATTAAGGGTATATCACTTCTTAGCCTATAGTTTAAAGATCAGCATTTGCGTCAGTGCTTAGGAATGTCCTGTTTTTTAGGGTAGTCCTGGGTCTTGCAACATGGGTCTTGTGAGAGACATCCGGTTATCTGGTCTGACCCCCACCCTTTGAGTACCTGTATCTGAATTCCTTGCTCAGGGGCAGAAAAACCAGTTATTCTGCAATGCGGGTTCCTGTTAAGCTAAGCCAAATTAATTCTCGTTGTGGTCCATTTTGGGCCTGTCCCTCACATCCTGGGTGAGGGGGTCTCCCAAATGAGAAGGAATGGACACATGTCTTGGATGAAGAGTATGCGATGAGCTTTATTGTCTACAAGGCACTTATATATCTTAAGGTGGCACACGTGCAAAACAGAATGGGCTGACTTCTGTCGTAGCTAATGCTCAGTGGTCAGTGGACGGACAGTCAGGACAGACAGTCAAGATAGCTATATAAGAAGTGGAGAGTTAGAGAGGTGGCTAGCCAGATTGTATCATCCAAGGGCCGTGTGGTGGGATGCCATGTGCTTGTGAGGAATGTACAGGCCCACAAAGCCAATCTGGAGACCTCTGGCTCCCCACATGCTACAATATAGGTGACATGTGTAAAACAATTTAGTAAGATAGAAAATAACAATAATACTAGATATGATTTATAACCACTTGAAGGGTTAGAAAAATATGAAAACTTAAAATTAAAAGGAATGTAGGGAAGTAAAGAAATGTAATTTATTGCATACAGATATCAAATATGTTATAGGGGACAACAATTCAGAACTCTAAAGAACATTTCAGAACTCTGACGAAGACACAAATGTGTAAATGTTTGTGATCATATATTCATAGAAGGGTGAATAATCAAAAAGATTACATAGATGAAAAATATGTATCAAAAGACCACGGTCACGGTCCTCCCTTTGTTCATCGATTTGCTTGAGCAGTCCCAGTAACGTCTCCATCGTGAGACTTGTTACTGTGTTTGGCATATTGAATACGTCACGTGTAGCTTGCCAGGCTTTGCCCTGTGGGCGAGATACTCTCAGTACTCTCAGTATCTGCCAGGCTCTCCGAGAGGGGCAGAGGAATCAAACTCAGGTCGGCCATGTTGGCTGTGTGCAAGCCAAATGCCCTACCCACTGTGCTATTGCTCCAGCCCATTCCAGGGAAAAAATTTAGAATGTAGATCATTGTGTATTATGAACTACCCTTTTGTTTGCTATAACCCTATTCTTTTCCCAATACATAGTTGAGAATTTAATGACAATCATTCTAAAATTATAATTATCCCTTCTCTTCCTTAAATTTTTAGATAGTTTGCTCACACTAAATTAATTTGCTCTTTTTAGTCTTCCCACAAATTACTTCTAAAAGTGCATATGTGATTAGTTTCTTGATCCAGGATCTCATTTGACAGAGTACTCTGGGATAGTCTTCTCCAGAGAAGAAAATGTACGAGTACCATCCATATATAAGAGCTGAAGTATTTGCAAAGTTTTTATAGCTGTTCCAGAGTGACATTATTGCTCTTCTGTGTTTACTTCTGATCTAATCCTCTTTGCTTTGATCTCAGGTCTCAAAGGGAACCATCAGTGATCCGGATAGGCCTCCTGAGTACTGAAAAAGGCCATAAAATGTAACACAGTTTAACCAATTTAACCACAAAGTTCTGTTGCTCCACTGTCAAATTTTTCATCTATTCTAATATACACATATTATCCCAGATGCTATCCTAGTAAATTATCATTTGAGGATTTTAAAAAAGAATACTCAGTGTTTATATTGTCTAACATATATTATGGGTTGTGAGATAGAATTTCAAGATAAAGCAGGAGAAAAGAAAAAGAAGGGAAAATTTTTGTGCATTAATGATTGCTGCATACTCATGAGTTATGTTGTACATTTGAATAATATAATTTGGCTCTGAAAATGAAGAACTAAATAAAATCACTACCATACAGTTATGCATAATAATCATATTGGGTCTATTTTACTCTATGGAAAAACATTGGAAGCATGCTACTTACTGGAAAATTTTGAAAAAATACATTCTAAGCCAGTTGAAACAGTTCTATAGTAGAAATTAATTGTTGATAAACAGAGTTTCTTTTGTGGGTCAGAAACTTTGAAAACAAGATAGAAGGTCTATGACTAAAAGAATATGCAGGGTCTACAGAAACATAGAGACTTCGGAATCTAGTAAGAATTTTCTATTATTTAGCTATACTCTGTGACTGCTTGCAGTCTGATGAAGATTGGTGTAAACATGAGTGCTCAGAAAGCATACGGTAAGGACTATAAAAGAAACATACTAAATGAATGCTTGAAATAGATCCATAAATTGACGTGGCCAGATTAAATATAACAGAACTTAATGACTGGGTAGTTGGTGTTATTTGCGGGCAAGATAACAATCAAATAGATTAGAATGGAAAAAAATATTTAATTTTCTTTGTGGTGTTATAAAACCTTAGAGCTAAATATATAATACATTATTTTAAAAAGACTAAAGACTGCCATGATTTTAGCTTAAAGACTAAAGACTGCCATGACAGAATCCAGATGCTGGACGTTGCTGACTGACAGAAATGCAAATATTAAAGTTCTGGATGTCAGAAGGAATCTAAATCTAAATCTAAATCTAAAAGGATATTGAAACAGTCTGGGCAAGTATTCCCACTATTATGTCAGAATGTTTTCTGCAGGAAATATTAAAAATTTATCTTATTTAAACAATAAATTTGTTCAAAATTTCTTTCAAACAGCCTGGGAGAAGACAACAAAGATGTTTTACTTGTTTTAGTTCTCTAACAGCAGATCAGTACTTAGGTATTTTTCTATGGAATTTCCTTCATTTTCTTTTCTCTTGGCATAAAAATGTTATTTTAAGTAAATTTGTTAGAACTTTATAAAAGATGGTTTTAAATATTGGCATATATTTTCCAGGAACAATTATATTTATTTGTAATAGTAAATAATGTGTTTTAGTTAAATTTTATTTGAGTGTGTGTATATTTTTTCCTTAGGGTTAGCCTGTTTTCTGTTTGTCTTTTGTAGAAGCAATTATAGGACTTTATTTGGCAAATCCATGTTTCCCAGTAGAAAATAAGTATTGTTCGTTAATAAATAAAAGTTTACTTATTACCTTAAATATATTTAATATCTGAATATTTAACATTTCTGGGTTTATTAAGTTCTTACCTCTGAAGTTATATAGAACTTTTTCCTTTTGTATTTTTTCTGAAATATTTAATGACAATCGAGACAATTTTTAAAATATTCTAACATATATAGTATATAATTAATAGTAGAATGCAGAGCCAGAATATTTTCCCTGAGGAGATATTACTTAGATAAAAATCAAGGAAGTAATAAAGTTAAGAATAATTTTCACCATATTGTGAGTTTTTATTTGTAGGGTTCAGGATCAGAAAACAAGATTCTGGTAGATAATAGAGATTTTTAAAATGTTAGGTATACTAAAAAGCATATTCCAGAATTATAATACTATGTAGAAAGTACATGGCAGAAATTAGGGTAAAAATGAGTAATTGAAACTAAAGGATATGGCCATAGAAGTCTTAACAAAATATTCTTGCTGATGAGAACAAAAGGGCTGAATTATACTTGATTTTTTGATTCACTATCTTAGATAGAACGAATGTCAACCTGAGTAATGACTGAGTTTCTAACTGAAAGTCATGGATTTGCAGAGAGTGCTCTGGAACTTTTTAAAATTTACATTTTTTTGAGAGAACTCTAAATTATTTGATAGTATGAAGAAACAAAATATTCTACTCTTTCTGTTATGTAACTATGCTATTCTAATCTTATTAAGAAGATTAATTTTCTATTGATTTTCTATTGATAACAGATAGTGTCTTTAATTTTTATAAACTATGTTCTTATGTCTTAGAGTTAGAAAATATTCTGAATTACTAACTGTTGAGTTATCTTCTTTGTGGGCAAGGGTGTTATAAAATAATTACTGCATTTTGAAATTCTTGGAAATAATGAGTATATCTACTAATGCACATGTCTCCCTCCATACTTTCAATTTATTAGAATGATAATCGGACTTTTCTTCCCCTAAAATCTAGCTTCCAAAACTAGCTTAAAAATAGTAATGATTATTGTGTTTGCAATTGAATGATTGCAATTAAAAATTATGGAATGCAATAAAATAAAATCCCAAATTCAGAAAGAAATATCTAAAATTAATTCGATCTTCCTATTTGCAGGAAATGATGTTGAACTATTAATGATGAACTGACTTACTGGTGATTTATAAATACTTAAACCTCAGGTAAGCTATCAAATGGTGTATCTTAATTCTCCCCCACACAGACACCCCTTCCCCTCACTACATGAACAGGGCCATAAAAAAATCATTTTGTTATTCTGATTTCCTTCCACAGAGCATTTGAGCAGATATTTGCATCTGAATATGGGTTCTTTGCAATTTTAACATGGCAGACAATATTACACATCACTACATCTCATCTTTCTTCCTAGTTGGTATTCCTGGTTTACAAGAATTTCACTGCTGGATTGGTATCCCTGTCTGCCTCCTGTTTGTGCTAGCCCTGTTGGGAAACAGTGTAATCATCATCACTATCAAACTTGAGCCAAGCCTCCACCAGCCAATGTATTTCTTCCTTTGCATGCTAGCAATGAATGACATGGCCCTGGTCTCTTCCACAGCTCCCAAGATGCTTGGCATCTTCTGGTTTGATGCTCATAGGTTTGACTTTGATGTCTGCTTAGCACAAATGTATTTCATCCACACATTTTGCATAATTGAATCAGCTCTCTTGGTAGCTATGGCCTTTGACCGTTATGCGGCTATCTGTATTCCACTACGATATGCAACCATCTTGACCACACCAGTAGTTATTAAAATGGGTCTGGTTGGTGCACTCAGAGCTGTACTTATGGTTTTGCCTTGTCCTATTCTTATTAAAAGGTTACCATATTATTCTAAATATATTATCAATCATGCCTATTGTGAGCACATGGCTGTGGTGAAGTTGGCCAGTGCCAACACACTCATAAACAGAGCATATGGAATTGCTGTGGCCCTTTCAGTGATGATCTTGGACCTAGCTCTCATAGCCACATCCTATATCAAAATCCTCCAGGCTGTCTTTCGACTGTCTTCTCAGAATGCTCGTTCTAAGGCCCTGGGCACCTGCGCTGCTCATGTCTGCACTATTCTTGTCTCTTATACACCTGCTCTATTTAGTTTTCTAACTCATCGCTTTGGTAAGAAGGTACCGGCAAGTGTCCACATAATTTTTGCTAGTTCATATCTTTTGGTGCCTCCTACAGTAAATCCCTTGGTATATGGTGTGAAGACCAAGCAGATTCGTGACCGAGTGATTGGTCTTTTTTTCCCAAACAAGAAACAGTCTGAAAACTAAATCACATAAATCCAAACCTATGCTGTTTCCGAAGTCATGGTGCATTAATAGTAGTTGTGACTTTGTTTCTAGCAGGCTATTTCTCAATTTAGTTATGATCTCAATGCCTTTAGTCAGGATATTTTATATTTGAATGTGAAATATCCTCCCCCTCTTTTTATTTTTAAATGTTTCCCCTTTTTTCATTTCAGGCTTTCAGTAAATATTAGCTACAGATTTTACATTGTTATGAAATGATTTAGACATAAACAAATATGTTTATAATATTTTGCAGCATTCGCAAACCAAAGCATCATTGTTGTAGCAATTTTAAATTTATTAATACATAGGAACATACAATTTATGATTTTAATTTTGCAATTTGAGCTGTTAGCCTGACTAAATGCTTTTGAATAAAAACGGTACTTTCATGTTATTCATTGCTTCTTATAAATAAAATGTAGCACACTTATTTGTTTAAAATATTTATTTATTTAAAACAAACATGTAAAATTATGTTCTAAATAGAAGTCATTATTTTCAAATATTCTACATAACACTAATACATAGTTCCATTTTCTATTATTAATCCATGTGTGCTTGTGTTTGGTTTTCTATTAAGTATATATAAGTATTTACTTCATTAGTAAGTATGAAAACTGTATTAAACTAATTGCACAATTTTGAATCTTAGTGATAAAAGTCTCTACTCATAGCATAAAGAAACTGTGATAGAAAGCAGCAAAGAAGAGTTTAAACAGAGGGAGTCTGACTTTCAGAATGTGTACTCCATATAAATCAATATCCTCTATCTAGATAGAAGTTATACATCTCATTTTCATATTATAACAATGGAAGCTTATTTTTCTAAACATTTTAATTTTTATTCCCCCTTACGTGTCCATCTTTTAAATATCATGATAGATTGTCAGGTATCTATCAAGCTGCTTAAAACTCATAAATTTAGTTGCAGCACTATTAAAACACCTTAGACTAATTGCTTTTTTTTTTTTAAACTAAAAAGATATCCAATGTAAGAAGTCTGGAGACATTATAACATAGCTTGCCAGTATGAGTAAAATTTGGATCTAAAAATGTACTTATTCATATGTTCCTTTTATTTTTCATGCACACTGAATCTAAGATCACCTCATTGAAAACTGAAAATAATTTACTAATAAATGCCTTATATTAACATTTAAATATAGCTTATAAACAGATGAAACCACTCTGAGCATATCTTTAAATGCTTTATTCAAAATACACTTTTTTCTTGCTATTTAGATTTAGCATTGATGTTAGTGGTTCCCACTGGTGGCTCATCGAAAGTGGGGAGGAGAAAGACAGTCACTTTCTCCTGATCCGCCTCTGCAACCCGGGACCCAGGGTTGCTGGGTTCTTGTCTTGCCTTAAAAAAGAGAATTTCAGGAGTAGACAAGCAGTGAAATTACACAATTTTTATTTGGAGGTTTTGAATGAAAGGAGGGAGAGAAAGGGGAGTAATGTACTCAAGAGAGAATCTGGGCTTCTCCAAGGATGGAGAGAGCCCCTACACACATCTCAGCATTAGACATGAAAGTATGAAAGTACAAATCTCAAGAGAGGAGATGTGAGTGACACATGTGCTCAGGCATCACATGTGAGATTTCACACTCTTACATAGACAGGATCTTCATCCTTTTGTCAGCATAAATGCATTATAGAAGATGGAAATTTACTCCTGTATCCCTTAATTATGTAGGGTCAAAAATCTTGGGGCAATATATTACAGGCATTGAAGGGGTGCTGAATATGAGCTTCCAGGAAACAAAAAAATTAAGACTTACCTAACCCTGAAGTAGCCCAAAAGTATGGAAAGCACATCCCTTTGAGATTCAAATATTGAACTCGATCGATAGCACAGTGGTAGGGCATTTGCCTTGCACGCAGCCAGCCTGGCCGAGCCGGGTTCGATTCCTCCATCCCTCTCGGACAGCCCGGTAAGTTACCGAGAATATCTCACCTGTGCAGCAAAGCCTGGCAAGTTACCTGTGACGTATTCAATATGCCAAACACAATAACAGCAAGTCTCAAAATGGAGACGTTACTGGGCCCGCTCGAGCAAATTGATGAACAATGGGAGGACAGTGTTTTAAGATGATGAAACTGCCTCCACCTCGCCTCCCACAGGAATGGTAAACTCAGAAAAGGAGAAGCTATAAGATATTTTAAACAGATTGTGAATATGAAAGGCTTATTAGGGACTCATCCAGGTACCTGTCCGGAGGCGGGTCCCCTTCCTGGGGCTGCGCGTCTAACTAGACCCCCAGAGAATGGCCAATTTACATCCTTGGTCTGTGGGGGATGAGAATCGGGGCACACGACACGCACCCAAAGCTGAACCATTCCGGGCACTCTCTGCTCACTCAACCAGGTACCCACCCGGTGGCAGGGCCCCTTCCTGGAGCCATGGCCGCTAATGAGGCTGCGAGTTATTCTCTCCCTGCATATCCCATAGGAACCATTTGTTATCCTCTTAGATGGAACTTTCACTAGGTAAGCTTAACCACCAGAAACACTTTAGCCAATAATTCATTAAGCTCACCTCAATTAATACTGAATCATAAGCAGAATAGTAACAGTGAGCATGAAGGTCTAAACCACACAGCTCACAATGATAAAGCAACGCAGAAGCCCACCAAGATTATGTATTGAAGAGGCCAGCCCAGAAGACCTCAACAGTAACGAAGTGCTAGACAATTTCTCTGACAAAGAATTTAGAAGGGAGCTACTGAGGATGCTTAGGGAGCTAAAAGAAACAATGGGAAACAATGCCACTAAAAGACAACAGGATTTGAAGGTATAAATGAGGAAAATGCAAACAAAACTACAAACGGAAATGTCAGACCTGAAAAACCTGGTAGGCAAATTGGAAAACTCAGTGGAAGGCCTCAGCAGCAGAGTAACAGCTGCTGAGGACAGAATCAGTGTGCTTGAAGATGAAGTCCAGAGACTCTCCAGAAAAGAGCAGAAAATGGAAAAGAGACTCACAATCTGGGAACAGGTGGCAAGAGAAGATCGTGGTGAAGCCAAGAGGAGTAACATAAGAATTATTGGAGTCCCAGAGGGACAGGAAGAAAACCATGATAAAGAAGAAACTGTCAAAGATATCATTGCTATGATGTTTCCAGAGCTGAAGAAAACATGCGACCACATTCAGGAGGCCCGAAGGGTACCAGCTAGAAGAAATCTGAATAAAAATACCCCAAGACACATCCTGATCAAAATGTCCAAAACCTTACATAGAGATAAAATCCTGAAAGCAGTAAGATCAAAGAAAGAAATTTCCTATAAAGGAACATCCTTAAGATTCACAGCCAATTTGTCTGATGAAACCCTCATGACCCGAAAACAGTGTTAGGATATAGTGAAAAAACTCAATGAAATAAATGCCTCACCAAAAATACTTTACCCAGTGAGACTCTCATTCATAACAGAAGAAACAACACAGTTTCACAGACAAACAGCAACTCAGTAGCTTCATAGACTCAAAACCATGGTTACAAGAACAACTAAACGGGCTACTTTAAGACAAGACAGGTCCCACAAATACACCAAATTTCAATAGAAAAAATGGGACAAAACTCCAAAACAACAATCTCTCTCAACGGGCTAAATGCACCAATTAAAAAACACAGAGTGGCAGGATGGATTATAAAATTGAACCCAACAGTCCGCTACCTGCAAGAAACACATGGCAATAGTCAGAGCAAACACAGGTTCAAAGTCAAAGGCTGGAAAACAATGCTACAGGCAAACAACGCTCATAAAAAAATGCTGGGGTAGCCATCTTAGCATCAGACCACATTGATTTCAGACTGAAAAAGATTTCACACTGTCACAAGAGACAGTGAAGGCCATTTCTTATTGATCAAGGGATCTGTACAACAGGAAGAACTTACAATACTAAATGTATATGCACTTAATGAGGGACCAGCAAAGTACTTAAAACAACTACTCATAGACTTGGAGAAAGACATTGATAGCAACACAATACTAGTGGGAGACTTCAACGCTGCTTTATCACCTCTTGATAGATCAACTAGACTCAAGCTTAGCAAGGACATACTTCATCTGAGGGAAAAAAATGGAAGAAAGGGACTTAGTAGATATATACAGGACACTTCATCCTCAAAAATCTTAATACACATTCTTCTCAAGTGTGCATGGTACATTCTCCAAGATAGATCACATGTTGAATCACAAAACATAACATACCTCCATAAAATTAAGAAGATAGAGATTGTATCAACAATCTTCTCAGACCACAATGCTCTGAAATTAGAAGTAAATCACACACACAAACAGAAAACTAAATCAAACGCCTGGAAATTAAACAGCTCACTATTGGACAATGAGTGGCTTAGAAAAGAAAATCAAAGAGGAAATCAAAAGATTCCTGGAAATAAACAAAAATGAGGACATGAGTTACTAAAACTTTTGGGACACAGCAAAAGCTGTGTTAAGAGGAAAGTTTATAACTCTACAAGCATTCCTCAGGAAGGAGGAGCGAGCCCACATAAGTAACCTAACCTCACAGTTTAAGAGCTTGTAGAGTGACTAATAAAAGGAGCACAATCCAAACAGGAGTAGGGAAATAATAAAACTCAGAGCAGAGATTAACAAGATGGAAACCCCCCCAAAAATCCGAAATATCAATGAAACCAAGAGCTGCTTCTTTGAGAAAATAAACAAGATCAATAAGCCTCTAGCAAAACTCACAAAAAAGGGAGAGAGAGAACCCTAATAAACAAAATCAGAAATTAAAAGGGGGTCATTATTACAACAGAAACTACAGAAATTCAAAGGATCCTCAGGGAGTACTTTGAGAAGCTTTACGCCATGGAACATAAAAACCTCAAGGAAATGGATAAATTCCTAGATTCCTATAGCCTCCCAAGTCTGAACCAAGAAGACCTTGGAATACCTGAACAGACCTATCACCATCAAGAAATCTGAAATGTAATAAAAAGTCTCCACGA